CCACAACTCTAAACTATCTCATTAAATAAATAACAATTTAAATTTTTTATTTAAATTATTTAATTAACGAATTTAAAACCAGCACAAAGACAGGAGCGAAACTTGGTCCAGGTGCAAACGCACTAGCAAGGGAGTTGAAGTTTAGGCTGGCTCCAGGAAAGCAACCGCACCGGAGGCAGCCGGTACCAAACACTGTAGCCAAAGCGTTGTTGTTAAGCAGAGGGAGGTGGAAAACGCCAAAAATTCTGCTTTTAGTAGTGCATCTTCCAGATAATGGCCTAGTTTTCAGGTCGAAGACCGAGGTAAGGTATGCGGAAAAATGGCGTACTCTCTACTTGCTGAGAAAAGTGCAGCTGCAACCGCCAACCAAGGAGGAGCAAACGAATGAGCTTCAAGAATCCATTGACTGCACGAGAGCAGTCTTTCTTTAAACTTATACCGCCAGCAATGACAGCGAAGCGACAAAGGTCAGCTGAAGAGGCTAAGCCGTCTGCCAAAAGGCCAGAGTCTAAGAAACTGCTTTATAATTGGTATGCTGGATTAGGGAGATCCCGAAGAAAAATCCTCAGGGCTCAATTGAAATGGGTGCAAGTTGCGCGGACTAATGCGGCGCTAGAAGTGCTATTAAGCAATCCAGGCCCGCCACTGTCATCCCCGAATGCTGGATGGTACCAGGGCCAAATAAAGATGATAGCTTGTGATGACGAGAGATCAATCCAACTAAACAAGGCCGCAATAGCCAAAGAAGAGGATGTTTACCCCTGCGCCAGGTTCGTAGCGGTAGACAGAAGCACCAAGGGCAACCAATGCAGCTCATCCGAGCCTGCAAGCCGAATCTGCCAACTGAAGGATGGAGCTTCGTTAATGCCTTCGAACTAGCCACAATGCAGATTCTGCTGTTGTTAACAAAACAATCCATACAACCGCTGTCGAGAAGTGGCTGGAAATTAACTACATATGTGTTCACAAAAGTGAAGGTCATTACCTAAAAGACTGACGCCGATGCAGAAGACCACTTGGTATCAGAAACAGAGTGTAAAATCCAGGAAAATTTAATGGAGTCCTCGAGTGACATGGAAAACAGTGAGCAAGGTGAGTGTTCTTCGGGGTCTGAGTTTGCAGATAACCGCTCTAAGCTATACACTGAGAGTGAGCTTCTGAGCAACTCTCAAGAGAACGCAGATAAGGCAATAGTTAATGTGTCTTCTTCAAATTAATCTCCACCACTGAAAACTACCTTCTCTAGCCTTAAGTAACCGCATAACAGAAGAACGGCATGACTTCGTCCTTGTTCAGGAGATATGGGTTAATGAAGGGCATATTTGTCGACTGAGGACACCGGCTTATAATTTATACATGGTAGACGCGTAGGTAAGGCTAGGACATATATAATGGCTAATAAAAAGCTTAATGTCTTCTTATTACATAGCTGCATAGACGGGCAATAGCAAATACCGGCTGGTGTCATGCTACGTGCCAGTGAGGCATCCAGGTGCTTAACTATACTTGGATGCGACTCCAATGCACACCACACGTTATGGAGCTGCACGGATATCAACGAAAGGGGTGAGTCGTCCTTCAACTACTAACTAGATACTAAGAGTTTGTTATATAACAGAGGTAATATTCGAATATTAATAACAAGAAATCGGCAGGAGTTATTAGACATTACTTTATGTTAAAATAATTAATAAATAGGTTAACCCAACGGAGAGTTCTTGAAGAACACTCCTTTTCGGATCACCGCTGTATTGAATGCATAATTGAATAGAATGTAGATAGGCAAGGTAGAAAATTTCAGAAATCATAGGAAAACGAACTAGGAGATGCAACTGCCAGAGCTAAAAAAACATATTCCTATGATTCCGCTATTCAAAGAGAAGCACCAGAGAACAAAGAAGATGGAAATCATCGTTAAACATACTAGAGTTGGCTTGTCCAATAACACGTAACAGGGGAAGAATTAGGTCCCCATGGTGGTCTCCCGTATTTAAGAACTTACAGAAAGATTGCAGGAAGAAATTTCATTTAGCCAAACTATCTCAAGGAGAAGAGGGGTTGAATAATTGTTAAAACCTCTTAAAAGAAATAAGGAAAGCAAAAAGAAATTTGTGGACAACTTTGTTTGTAATGATATCGAGAATACGGAGGAGCGTCTCGACTTAGGAAAATAATGGCACAATCGGTGCATAACATTGGATACCTTCAGGAGCCAGACCACAGCTGGACGGTTACCAGTGAAGAGTCTTTAATGTAGTCTTTTAATGGATACTCACTTCCCAGGCAGCCCTGTACACCATACTAGGCAGTGTAGTAAAGAGAGAGTCCACTCCTGTAGACATAGTGTCAGATAGTAATGCATATTGGGCGATAGGCATTTTCAATCGCCGGGATCAGACGGTTTATTCCCGGCTCAGTTACAGCAGTCCCAGAGCTACATAATAACCTGCTTAACAATTATGCTTGAAAGGGCATTGCAATTAAACTATATTCCCTCGTTATGAAGGAAGGTCAAGTTTATATACAGTGGTGAGTATTAATGGATGAATCAATGTACTGAGATGTTTATTAAATCCGTTCTCATGAAGCAACTTCAACCAAACTTTTTTTATTTGATGTATTATTTATTGTACTAACAGAAAACATAAACAATAGTAATAAAAAAAGAAATGTAATAGTTCTCTTGTTCTATTATTCTTCATTACTGCATTCATCCAATTTTGCACGTGTGAGTAATATACATTTATTAAGCAAACTTAATATTTTGTCCACAATCTCTTATTTTTCCGTACACTTTTAATACGTTTTGGCACACTTTCTACCAGTTTTTCGATTGTACGTTTTAGTATTTCGGCCCATTCAGTCTGAACCCTAAGCCAAAGCTGTTCCATATTTTTAGGGTCTTTCATAAACAGCCAACTTCTTTTAAGAAGAGCCCATACATTTTCGATCGGGTTCAGATTTGTGCTTTATGCAGGCTACTTTATGACTTTAAAACTTTAATCGGCTAACCAATCTGTTACGATTTCGGCTGTTTGCAGGTCTCTATCTTGCTAAAACATGACCCCGTCTTCGGGATATGCGCTAATTTCAACAAATCTTGGCAAATTTGATTCCAACATACCAATATATTCTCCTTTTTTCTTAATTCCTTCAATTTTCACTAGTGGGTCAAGATACCACCAGCCATGCTTCACGGTTTGCTTCACATTATATTTTTGCAGTTTGCCCAGGTCGTTGTCAAAAGTATTATTTTCCATCCGATTGAAAATGATTGACCATATAATGCGCTTCCAGTCTTCTGCGCTCCAATTTTTGACATCTTTACAAAATTTTAGCCATTCTTGTCGGACAATGCAGGTTTTTTTTCGAGCATCTCCTGCAGTGAGTAACCTACGGCGGCCTCTACCATTCAAAGAGGGTTTCACATTGCGCTTTTTTTGTGCTCATAACCCCGTTCTGCAATTTATAATTTATCCGGTAACGGTACTTACCATTATCGGTTTGCCAAATAAAGCATGACGTGCAAAATTGGATGAGTGCACTAATGTACAATGTTATAACAATTGAATTATTGCATTTAATTTTCAATTACTATTTTTTAAGTTTTCTGTTAGTACATTAAATAAAAGAAGTTTGATTGAAATTGCTTCATAAGAATAGATTTTATGAACATATCAGCATAAAAGTTTCAAACATTCATCCATTAATGCTCGCCGCTATATGCCAAATGAGGGCAAAAGCTCAGACACTAATTAAAAGGATTTCAGATCAATTAGTATTTCCACATTTCCCTTAAACACGTTGGAAAGGCTAATAGAATTATACATTAGGGAGCAAACTAAACCCAGAAAAAATGGCAGTTTCGCAACATGCGTATTCTAAGGGAAAATACCCAGAAACAGTACTGAGCTCAGTCGTAGCAGAGATTGAAAAGTCTCTGGAGATAAAAGAATACAAACTTGTAGCTTTTATAGACATAGAAGGCGTTTTAAATAACATCCAGCCTAAGGCCATACTGATCGCGCTTAAAAATTTAAGCATCTCTGAGCCTCTCGGAAATTAATTCAACAGATGCTCACGGCCAGGTCAATTATTTCAACGCTGGAAGCTTCAACGATGTGCAGATCTGTCCGGGGAGGCGCACAAAATTTTGGTGGATGTGGAAAAGAAGGGGATACGTGGCGTGGCCCCTACGCCGACTGTGTGGCAGTTTCGATTAGATGTAAATTCCCGAATACCCTCGCTCATTGATGGGCCGTATTGTGAAGACTGAACTTGAATGTTATCAAGACAGAGCTAGTATTGATCACTAAGAAACACAATATTCCAGAAATTGCCCCGCCCTTATTAAATGGTACCAGGCTCGCAATAGGAGATAAGGCAAGCTACTTGGAGCTAATTTTTTAAAGCCGATTATGACTTACGATATATTGGCATGGTGGCCAATAACGGAAAAGAAATGTACGGTAAGATGTATGGAAAGCATACCAAGAGCAGCCAGTATTTGCATCAGTGCTTTTTGCTTTTGTTTTGATTGTTGTTTTGTAAGTAAAATGGCAGCGAAGTCAGCTTGTAGTCTAAGGGAATCCTCCCTTAAGTTCCAGTTTCTTCCCATTACCACGGATTTTCGAAAGCCCTGAGAGTTGAATTTAAAATATTATACTTAAATATTCCCAATATTGCCTGCCCTTCCAGAGAAGAGTGGGAAAGAGGCGAGGTGGGCAAGGGCGCAGAGATAAGCATCTATACGGATGGTTCCAAACGAAATAATCCAATACCAATATCGCCTTCCGTCTACCAGGACACTGTAGTGTCTTCCAAGCGGAGAGCACAGATTAAAGTAAGCCTTCTTGTTCTGACAAGGAGTGTGTTCACAACAACGAATATATTTATATACACAGATAGCCAGGTGGCTTTGAGATCACTAAAGTCTTTTAGGGTTTCGTCTATGTTAGTGAAAAAATACCTTGATCTATAAGTGGATTTAACATCCTATTTCACGATACACCTGCAATGGGTTCCAGGACATAGTTAGGAAAGAGGGAATTTATATGACTCTTGCTATCTTCCGAGATTCCTTCTACATACGTTCTAAACATAGCTGAGTCTCGTTGGAATCAATCCCTGACTTGCTCAACAAGCAGGCAAACGTGGCATGAATGCAATATGGGGCGCACATGCCCTCTATTAAAATTTTAACGGAATGATATAAGAACTCTAGTAGGAGTACTAACAGGTTACTTTCTAATAGGCAGAAATGCTAGTAGACTATAAACGCCATATAACGACTATTACAGAAGCTGTCATAAGGTAGAATAAGAAGAGACTATTAAATATTTTCTATGCGACTATAATGCTCTATATAGAAAAAGAATCGCAACTATCGGTGGAGGATTTCTCGAAGATTACAAAGATATAACTTTTTACTGATGAACTTCATCAGAAGAACAGGGTAACTTTATCACAATATGCCTTCAAAGGCCTACGTGCATCGTTAGACAGCCCCTCTACCTACCGACCTTTTGGCTGCTGCAATCCCATGTACCAAATTAAAGTTTTATATCTTAATTTAGTGCTTAGTTATGGCATTTTTTATGTTTTAGATTAAGGGCGTTTTGTGGGCATTGCGATGGGTCAATTGCGCCCATTAATGAACTCGTCCTTACTTTTTGCCAAGGAACACGTGTACAAAGTTTCATTACGATACCTAATTTTAACTTAGTTACAGCTTGCACGGACAGATGGAAGGACAGACATCCTCATCATTTATATAATGTATACGTAACCCTACGTATATCTATCTCGATTAGTTTTAGATGATACAAACAGCCTACTATAATCTATAGCTACATGTTCTTATTTTGCAAGTTTTTATGATTATGTTCTGAAAAAATATTTTTGTTTAGATGCAAAATTAAACATACTAAATTTGGTGAATATGGACGACCTATTTTCAGAGTTATTATATCGAGATAACATTTAAGTATGTATCAATTGATCAATTTTATGAGTCTACGTCAGAAACGCTCTACAGACTAATTTGTTGCAATTACAGCACTAAAAGAAACACAAATAGGTCGACGACGGATGGGTTCTCAAACATAAACGACCATAGGGATCTAAACCGGCAAAACCTTAAGGTAGATGTGATTTTGTGTTTTTTCAGTAACCCGGGGAATCAATTAAAGAAGATACTCGTTTAGTTGAACCATTAGTCAACGGTCGGTCGGTCAAGGTGTTATGCAGCTAACTGGCCCCCATCTACGCGAAATGTTAAATTAGGCCATGTTTCGAAATGCCTGAAAGAGCTCTCACGTCGTTGCCAAGGATTTCTTGCTCATTCGTCTGTTCTCGCTGTCGACGTTGCTCTTATGGTTAAAGGAAAGTTTCTGATTACTGTTTACGAGCTACGAGCAGCTAAGCCGTCAATCTAAGTAAAACTGAAATGGTTATTTACCACGAGGTCTAAAATCCCAGACGTTCCTCCCTCTTATTCGGCTATCCAAGGGCATATCTTTGATAGAAAGCTTTCATGGAAGCCGTATATTGCGGAGAGGGTAAAGAACGCATCAGTTGCCTTGTACTGCTATGGATGTGTTATATGGAAGAGGTGGGGACTTTCACTAAAGGTGGTGTTTGGGCTTACGAAACTGTAGTCAAACTAGTAATGTTCTTTGGTATATTTGCCTGTTGAAGAGCCCTTGAAAAAGCTCCACTCGCTAAGAAAATTGAACTTGTCTAATGAGCCAGCTCTTAATGCATTTATATTGCCGGCAGGTTGCTGCGAAGATCGCTCTAAAGCTCAGAGAAGCTGGGTATATGAACTGAAAATTTGGACCACTGCATTGTAGAATTTCTACTGAACTATTTCATTATGCGGACCATCCAGAATCCTAGATGCCATGAACACTCAATCGTTTATTGGTTTTACAAACCGCATAAATTCAGTGCTTTCTCACTATCGTTAATTTGCAATTTGCGTTTAATTGCTGATAAGAAGACTTTTCAAATAATGTGTGGTACTTACCGTAGTGCTTCAGTTGGTTTTTTTGTTGTAGCGGGCGATGCTGCTGCTGTTGGTGATACCTTGTGCCACTCTGTTCTCCAGCAACAACATCTTGGTCACCACTCCTAATTCCGTAGCTTCTATGGTTGGCTTGACTGCTATGACAGCGAAGTGACATCTTCCAATTAAATCTTCTTAAAAACGGTGACCGCAGTGTGTCCGATGGCGTGGCTGCTGTGTTCTTAGTGACTATAGCAATTGCCCCTAATGAACTGTAATCGTGCTGCTTGGCTGTCGTGCTGCCGCTGGTGGAATTGCCACCAAAGACTAAAGCGCGTTCGGCACGCATACCCACATACAGAGTGCGCGTAATGAGAAAATATGCAACACATAGCACAAATAGTGGCAGCACCAGCAATGTTAAGTCTAAGAATATATTATAAAACCGCTCATACGCAATGGTGTCCTCCGGCCATTGGTCGCGACATTTGCGTAAGCCTGCGGGTGGTATTAAGAAAGTACATTTAAAACGCGGTTTCAAGCAATGGACAAACAATTTAAAATGCGATGAAACTTTAATGAATATATTTTTTAACTGTTGATTTAAAATGTGTTTGCGTTTGTGTTGATGTCCTCATTTCAACATAATAAGAAACGAGCCTGATAGTTTAAAGACTTTAACTTATTTTTAGGGAACAGTAAGACTGCCCGTTGTAAGCTACTTTTGTTTTTTTTCTGAATGTATTTCGCCTCAGTGTCCTTCTATGCAGGCTGTTTGTGTAAGAAGTGTAATGAATTTGTTCGGTCAGCAGAAATAACTGTTGATACTGAGCGTATCTGTGGTTATTTTGAAGTCATAAAAGTTCACTTTTTATTCGCTTTGTTTGTATGCATTTCGTTAATCGCTGCTCCTTTACAGTCATATTTTATCCTTATGAAATATTTGCAGATAGTAAGTAAGTTGATTTGCTGTAATTTTAAAATTCTAAGCCGTTTTAGAAAATTTACAAGTAATAAAGGGCTAAGTCCGGATGTATCTGACCTTTTGCTGGCTTGCAATTTTTAAAGAAATTTGGGGGTAACATATGAGAATATTCCAAAAATAATTAAATAATTAGACAGGGTTAACAGAGTACGGGAATTCGTTGTAGAGGAGAATATTTAATCGAGGAAGGTCGATTGCCAATTACAACATTCCCAGCATAATTTTTCAACCGCTATTTCAATTTTATTCAATTATATTACTGCAGAAACCACTCCTCTGCCTAAAGTACCACGAAATTCTACTACATACAAATCATATAGTTTGCAAAACATGTCAGTAATAGACGTGCGTAAGGACATATTTATAGCTATTTCCAATCACAAAAAATAATTTTCACTTAAAGATGGAGTATAATATCAAAAAAGCCAGCTAATAGACGAATCTTTATAAATACATACTTAAAATATTTATCAATATCCCTGTAAACTAAATAAGTTGGCTTAAGATAATGAGCATTGCTTTAGTTAAAGCAATACCTAAAGAAATTCTCAAAGTTTTATCGGAAACCCAAATAATTTCAATACAAAATCAAGCTCTACAATATTCAAATCGCTCATCTATTTTTCAAGATATCCATTGTGAAACGAACTAGAGGATGAACCAAACACTCAACTCAACTACTTGCTGATGCCCTATTGAAATCCCTACCAAATTTAAAAAAGAAGCGCATTTTTAATGCAGTTTCAACTTATTCAGGTTAAAAATATACTTAAATCGTGTTTGATAGTTTACACGCCGGCGAGTGTTAAGTTTCCGCAACCAAATTTCTGGTAACAGACTGAAGCTGATCGATTTGTCTTAAGCCCATAACTTAAAAAACTGTTGCGACGGAATTGCCACAGTCATAGGTACGAGGCAAAAGCCCTCTCTAAAATGTCTAAAAAACATTTATGGCTGAAACAAATAGCTTCACAAGCTTCATAAAGAAGATTTTTATAAATATTATATTAGAGAATTAAAACTTATACAAAATATAAAGATATAAAGCGTAACACAGATATATCTAGTTCAGTAGTTTTGCTGGGAAAGGGCTAACAACTGTTTGAATATAAAATACAATGAAACATGATAGTTCTGTATATTATTCTAAAAATATATGTACTTGGTAACTTAAATATATGTATATGGAACAAAAAGTGCAACCTTATAAAGCATAGGGGTAGGGAAACTTCATGTGTTAAATTGGCAAATGAAAGAAATATTTGGTGCTAAGATTGTTGATTGAAAAAGAAACGCTTTTGTGTACCTACCTTGCCGACTGGTTGGAATTAATTGACTAAACAATGCAATCGGAGTCATGCAAATGATGCTGCCGAACCAAATGAATCCAATAATTCGGTAGGCATGATTAATCGTTTGCCATGTCCTTGAGCGTAACGGATGGCAAATGGCGTAATAACGTTCGCAAGATATCGCAACCAAAGTCCAGGATGAAACGGCCACCGACGCAGCTGTTAGTAAGAAATGGATGCAACAAATACAGAAATCAATCAACCACTGATAAATATTTATATTTACGCTGTTATCTATATTAATAAGGGAGTGGATTCGAGCAAAACCGCTGTTGTATAAGGGAGCAAAAGAATTTTTGCATTTTTAAACACTTCGACAAAATATTTTTAAACATTTCTTATTTACAATTTAATTTATACAGATATTTGCTTTAATAAATATAACCTACATACATTGGTGGCACAATTAATTTTTGTCTTCAATAAACTGGTGTATTTACTATCAGGCATGTTTTGGCTACTCAAAATATTTTTCGTATTAAACTCCGAATCTTGTCTGAAAAAAACTGACTTGCGGAGATATATCTGTATATTTAAAGGCTCTAGAAACTTTGATGTAATAACGGGAAAGTTCGATTGGTCATTGAATTAGATACACTTAAAATTCTTTGTTTTGTGTAAATTCTAAAAAAATTGAAAATTAAAAAATCAGTTGTATTTAAGTAATATTTGAAGCAAAAGTGAGAAAAGCTAAATGGTCTATCGAATCGAAATTTCGACAAACAAATAAAGCGCAGCTCCAACCTGTTGAAAGTCATTTAATACTAAAAAACCTAACTTCTCAATCAGAACGTAAAATTATTAGAATTGCTTCCAATTCTATCAGGTCGGCAGCTAAGATTAAGGAATTAGCCGGAGTAAATACAAGGCTTTCAACTATTCCACGAACCATAATACTTCGAAACATCTTAAGTGTTTAAAAATTAAGAAGACGCCACCCCAGAATGAAATATGCAAAGAAAAACAGAAAAAAAGTTAACTTCTGCTGCATCGAAGCTATAATACCCTTCACAAATACAAAGGTTCCTTACAAGTACTTGATTCCGATCATTCAATTTGTATGGCAACTATAAGATATAGTGATCTGATCTAAACAATTTCTTCGAAGAATACATTGTTCTTTAAGCAATAACTCGTACCTAATACCCTGAAGATACCTTATCAAATGAAAAAATTTCGCATATAAGCACTTGATTCCGATTGTTCAGTTTTTATGGCAGATATATACTATAGTGGTCCGATATCGGCCGTTCCGACAAATGATCAGCTTCTTAGTGAGAAAAGGACAGGAGCAAAATTTCTAATCGGTAGCTTAAAAATTGAGAGAATAGTTCGCGTATATACAGACAGACAGTCAGACGGACATGGCTAAATCAACTCAGCTCATCATGCTGACCATTTATGTATATATTTTATAGGATCTCCGATGTTTCCTTCTGGGTGTTACCAATTCCCTGGCAAACTTAATATATCCTGTTGAGGGCATAACTAGAGACCAAGGAGAGTGTATTACTTGAAGTGTTCAATTTTATACTCGACTCAATGATTAGCTTTGAGTTGTTTTTACTGATAAAAAAGTCTTAATTTAGACGAATTTCAAAAAATGAATTGCATACATTAATGAATTTGGTTTGTAATTTGAAAATGAAAGAAAGAAGAGTAAAATATCGGCGGCGTTACGCATTGCAACTCTTTCGCATGAAATCTTAACCTAAATCTTTTTTTTCGATATTTTTCTGGTTTATCGATCGAAATTTAAAAGAACGACTGAAATTCAAAATGCTAGTTTTCGGGACTAGTTTTGCGCATATCAAAATCCTAGATTCTAAGAGATTTAATTTGTTGGTTTGTACGATTGAATTACTACACACTAATTCTTTTTATACTCTCGCAACCTGTTGCTACAGAGTATAATAGTTTTGTTCACCTAACGGTTGTTTGTATCACCTAAAACTAATCGAGTTAGATATAGGGTTATATATATATAAATGATCAGGATGAAGAGACGAGTTGAAATCCGGGTGACTGTCTGTCCGTCCGTCCGTCCGTCCGTGCAAGCTCTAACTTGAGTAAAAATTGAGATATCTTTATGAAACTTGGTAGACATGTTTCTTGGTACCGTGAGACGGTTGGTATTGCAGATGTTCGGTTACATCCGAACTTAGCCCTTCCTTACTTGTTTAAGTTACAGTTATATAAGAGATATGAGTTATTTTAGAAATTTCAGTGAGAAGCATAACAATAACAAGTAAGGAAGAGCTAAGTTCGGGCGTAATAAATTATTTTCTACTTTCTCAATTTTCTAAGATTAAAGCTGGGAAACACTTTCAGTGATTGACAAAATTGTATATTAAATAAGTAAGGAAGATCTAAGTTCGGGTGTAACCGAACACTTTATACTCATTCAACTTACACGGATCAAAGCCGGCTAAATACCTTCAGGTGTTAGCAATATTGAAAAATGTAGCGAAAGGGTTCAAAATTCATTATTAATCGAGATCGTGAATGGACAACAATCAGGTAAATGGAAGGACTGATTGCATTAATTTTTGACGTTGATCAGGTATACTTGAGAACTTATTTTCAAGCATGTTTATAAATATAAACTTATATATGGAGTAAAGTCAGCCGGACGTTTTAAAATCCTGAATATCAGTTATTTGGGGCTAAGGCAAGTTTTTACGCGATTTAATCCATTTTAGGCACAAAGATATACTGTTATTAGATCTCTTAATTTCATTAAAATGACTCCCACATTGGCCCATATATGTGGTATAAAGTCAACTGGAAGTTCGAAAATCTTAATGTTACGTATATTGGGGCTAGGAGAAGTATTGACCCTATTCAACCCATTTTTGTGATAGGGGTATACCTAGTGTATTATTATCACTATAGAAACATTTTCTCCGAATTCCAAAATACATCTCAAAAATTGACCGATATTTTCGATAAAAAGTTCGCAATAGGAATTGGGGTCTACATACTCGGTATGTGGAGGGTTGAACAGTTATGGTTCGATTTTGACAATTTTCAGACCTAAGACGCCATATCTTAAAGCAAATATTCGTGCAAATTTGTATCCCGATATATTAATTACGGCTTAGATTTTTGTACTGGAAATTAAAAGAAGATGGAAGAAGATAGATGAAGATGGAACTTTAAATTGTGTTATATTTACGCACTGCAATATAATAATCTTGTGTTATCCTGGGTGTAAAATTTAATGTCTCTGACACATTTACTTATTGATTCATCGCACTTTTAGCAGATCTTAACAACATTACTATATGAGGAGAGGGCGGGGTTATAATCTCCTTTCACACACGTTCACACTGTTGGTAGGGGTTCTTAAAGGATTTGTCCGAATTTGAATATTGTACCTTAAGTGGTTGAAGAGATAAGTACATTAAACCTTTTAGAGGGCTGGCCAAGGCCCATTTTTTTAAATGTTTGGCTCACAGGTGCTACTGAAATCCTCTGCACCAAATTACTGTTTTGTATCTTAATTTGGAGCTTAGTTATGGCATTCTATATGTTTTCAATTAATGGCGTTTTTTGGGCATGGCATGGCCCATCTACGAACTAGTCCTAAATTTTTTGTCAAGGAACACGTGTACCAAGTTTGATTAGGATATCTGAATTTTTACTCAAGTTACAGCTTGCACAGACAGACGGACAGACGGATTTTAATTCGTTTCATCATCCTGATCATTTATAAAATGTAAAATCAACCGAATGTGTAAAAATTCTGTGATTATTTATATGGGGCTTATTTCAAGTTTTTACTTGATTTTACAAAGTTATACAATTATTAGAAAAATACGCTCCCTCATTCTTATTCAGAAAACTCACATATTAGCCAAGACCTGCAGTATAAAGTCACCCTGAAGTTCGAAAATCTTTACATTAGGTACATACCCACTTTTGACACTCAGACATACTATGATCAGGAAAGGATTCTCTTCGAATTTCAACTGTATACCTCACACATTTGCCGATATTTTCGGTAAAGAGTCAACTATAGGCACTGAGGTCCACATATTGGGTACCTAGGGGCTTGAACAGTATACTGGAATGTGAAAGAATCAGATGGGATTTAAAATTGCGTTATATGGGAAGTAGACGGAAGGTTGTAGTTTATTTCGCTGTAACATGGGAATATAAGAAGAATGTTATATATCGAATTTGGTTGAAATCGGTTGAGCAGGTCCCGAGATATGTGATATATATTTGCGGATAAAGTCAACCGAAAGTTCGAAAATCTTTGTATTAGGTATATGGCAGCTCTCAGAAGCCCTCAGCCGATTCAACCCAGTTTTGACATACAGGCTACTGTTATCAAGAAAGAATTCGCTCCGAATTTCAATACCATATCTCACATATTGACCGATATTTTCGATACAAAGTTCAATAGAAAGTGTGGTCCACATATTCGGTATCTTTGGTACTTGAATAGTTGTTTTTCCATTTTGACAATTTTTGTCCGTCCGATTCCACACTTTTAGCAGTGGGCTATGGGGTTTCACCTGAATGTGGGCGGTGCCATACCGTGTACCAAATTTTATTACGATTTCTCAATTTTTTCTAAAGTTGCTTGTTTGCACAGACAGACAGACGAACAAAAGAACGGACTGACATACGGATTTAAAATAACCCTATATCTATCTCGACAATTCAATTTAATTAACTCAAATATGTGGTATAAACTCAACCAGTAAGGAAGGGTTAAGTTCGGGTGTAACTGAACATTTTATACTCTTGCAACTTGCAAGGATCAAAGCAGGGAAAATACTTTCAGGTGATACGAAAACTTTATATTAAAAAATTTTGCAAAACATTTCAACATTCATTATTCGATGAAATAGTAAATGGATTACAATCAAATTTGGTATTTTATTAAGTTATATAATAGGTTATAGACTCACTTAGTTTTATTACTATATTTTACTTCCCGTCAGCTAAAATTTTATTAAAATCATTTTCAAATGAAATATATGGGATATAAACTCAATTAAAGAAGCTAAATTTAATATAATAAGTTAATGTGAAAACGTTACCCGGAGGATCGACATTCATTATTTTAGGGATATAAGGTTTGGACCAATATCTAGGCCAATTTCATATTTATTAAAGTATTACACTTTTTGTGAGGTAGAAAG